TCGTCAAACTTCAAAGCAACAATAATTTTAACAGTTTTTGATAAATAATAATTCGAACAATTCCAATTTATTTTATGAGTTTCGGGAAAATTTGTACAACTTTGAGTTTCTACGAACAAAGAAATATTTTAAACTTTTGTTATTATGTTTGGGTTACATCGAAACAAAAAATAGTTGCATTTTGCTAACTTAGAGTCAATGATTCATTAAATTTCGAGTAAATAACGTTTTGTGACTAATTTAATATAAAAAGTATTTATTTAGAAGAAAAAAAATCAATTTTTTATCAAAAAGTTTTTTTTTATTTAATTATCAACTGAGATATAATTGGATTGGAATTGTCCGAATTATTATTCAAAAACTGTTAAAATTATTGTGCATTGAAGTTTGACGATAAATATCTTTTAAACGGTTAATTTAATCGACTAATCATAAGAAGCTATTTTTGTAAGGCAGTTAATTTCCTACAAAACCATGAGTTGTGGGTTTCATAATTATTTTTTGTTAACGAGTTATAAAATTCACAGGAAAAAAGAAAACTGCCTTAAAATAATTAAACTTTTAATAAACTTTCGAACGGTGAGGTTTAGTAAAAAATTGTAAGAGACCTTTTTTGTAGAGAATTCAATTTGCTACAAATATGTGAAACGAGATATTTTAGTTCCAAATAGTACCGAGATTTGAAATTTTCTTTCTAGTAATAAGGAAAAAATAGAAAACTGATATTAAAATTAAGAGCTCACACTTGGAGAGAATTTTTTGAATTTCTTTTGGCAATTTTTAAAATTTTCAGTTAAAAAACCTATTAACTTCATAATATTGCAACATAGGTGGTAGATTAAACTTATAAGAAAGAAAACCTAGAAAAGATCCAGTGGTTCATAAAATTTAAGTGAAAAATATTTTTTTTATTTTCAAAATAAAATATCTCGGTTATTTTGACTTATTTGAAAAACGGTAAAGAGAAAATATGTTTCCTTTATTGAGATCTACCAGCCCTGAAAATATTTGCATTTATTTAAGACTCATCCTGTATAAATTTCAAATCGAAAAAAAAGATATATAAGAAAATCAAATTATTGCAGGGAATTCCATTAAAAAAATGAAATTCTTATCTATCTTTTAGTCTTTTCTTTATTTTTAATCTTGTTAAGTGTAAGTTGCTAGTTATTTTTTTAAATCAATATATGGGGTTAATTAATTTGTCTCATTATTTATAATATAATTTTCGTGACAAATTTATTGCAGTCGATCTTTGCCATTGCTACTAAAAATTAATTAACACAAACAGCATGTATGTTTATTTACGGCTTTAATTAAAATTAGATATTCCATTTGAAGTGTCCAGAAACCGCAACAATTAAAACTATCAATCAAATGGTAATTAAAATCGAAGTTTAATATAAATTCGGGATTGATTACACGAATCGACGATGATTATTTGTTTTTAGAGTTGTGTGCATTATTTGCCTTATTTGAAACAAATTTATATTTTGGCAAATTAATAAACATGCTACGACTTTGTATTAATATACAATTGAAGAAAATAGTTAAAGTGCCCGGTGGCGTAGAGGTACAGGCTCTCGTCTACCAATCTCAAGGTTGTGGGTTCGAATCGCACACCCGGCATTTCATCAGCGGACTATTTTTATTAAAATAAAAATAGTTTGGGTACCTAGGTCGACTCAGCCTTAAATGAGTACTTGGGATTCACAATCCTGAGGTAATAATGGGCGGTTGAAGCGTAGTGCTAGCCACGTTACCTTCCTTGTATACCGAACGGCTCTAGCATGGCAAGCTGTACCTTGCTACTCCCAAGGCGTTAAACGCTATATACGGGAGCTATTATTATTATTATTAAAAAAATAGTTTATTTAATTAATAAATATATAACTTGTAAAAAGTGTGGGTTTCGCCACTTAAATTAAAACAAAATCTACAAAATAAAAGTCATATTTTGTAAACATTACTACATTGAAACTGGCTTATCAGTGGCATTTTACTAGTTAAACAAATTCGCCTAATCGACAAGAAATTCTTAACGTTTCAGGAGGTATATCTCCTCCCTTTGTCAGAAGCAAAAAAACTGTAAAGCTTCATTCAGAACCTCGTAATTAGTGGAATAAATTAGTGGTTTCAATTAACGTAGAAGTTTGTTCCTTTAATTTCAATGTAAGCATTCAAAACGTCAAAATTGGTGGTAGACATTTTCAATTAGTAGAAAAAGTTATTAAACTTTTAACTTTTCCACTAATTATACTTCAAAATTTGCGAGAAATGTCATTTTGGCATTTGATTATCTTCCGTCAAGAGAAATTGTGGTTATAAATCAAAAGTTGATTGTTAAATATAAGCTAAATATTAGGCTTTTTTATGGATACAAGTGACTAACGCAAGCTGTTGCTAGGATATCATATTAACTTTAATGATGCTTTTTAAATACTGTGAATGATCGTAAACTAAAAAGTATAAAGTGTAATTGAAACCACTAATTTATTCCACTAATTGCGAGGTTCTGAATGAAGCTTAAGACTCAAGATAAAACTATTTAAAATCTTTAAACACAACTATTCAACAACAATTTAGTTTTTAGCAGATATATTTACTATGAACCGTAGTCTTTCTTTAAAATGATATTACATGTGTGTGTGTGTGTGTGTGTGTGTGTGTGTGTGTGTGTGTGTGTGTGTGAAATTTCTGATTACAGTGACATTTAATTACAAATAGTAATTTTATTACTTTTTCCTGTGGCTAAAAACAGACTTTTCGAGAAATAAGCCAGTCACAATGGTATATACATTTTTTAATTTATTATATATTTTATCATTGTTATACAAACTTGTTAATCATTACAATTTCTTTTATTCTTATCTTAATACAGTGAATATCTCCCAAAAAAGCGATTTTTACTGATTTATGGTATGAAATGACAAAATCATACTATATAAAATTTTAAAAAACAAGCTTTTAGTAGCATCTTGAAAATAAAAAGTAGAACTTATTGTTGCACCGAACTTAGAAATAACATCAGGGAGTTGTAACATGGGAATTCCAGGTTAGACTTTTGACCACAGATTCAAACAGCCCGATGATTTCAAATGTTTGTTTTAGAGCTGTTATTCCCATAAGATTGCTGAAGTGAATTTTCGTGTTTACCAGCAAAGAGGTATTCAGTGTCTACATGAAATACAAGGTTTACTTATTAGAATTTTCGAAAAAAACAATTAAGGTATTAAATTTATATATTTCAAAATATTTCACCCCTCATGGTTATACAGGGTGGTCCGAACTGTATTTCGGAAATTTTGGCAGCTTGTTCTGCAGATAAAAATAAGTAAGTTCGTATAAATGTATGTCCTAAAATGCCTAGTTTCGAAGATACAGGGTGTAGAAGTTTCATTTTTATTTCGATTTTTTCCAAATAATTTCTGAAGTAACGTCAATATTTGGATGAAGATTGGCGTCTGAGAGTTTTTTTGACATGAGAAATTTGATTTTGATGTCAATATGACTCCTACTTGTAGAGGGCACCACCTACATGTTGTTTAACTGGTTTGAAGTGTAATAATTTTTGGTCCGTACCTGTATAAAACTACTGAGTAATAAAATATGCATTCACGACGATTTCTACGTAGAAAAGGTCTCTTGGTATAAATCGCCACGAGTAATGGTTCTCGAGATATTCGGAATCGAAAAACTGCTTAATCATTTTTTTGAAGAAAATTTTATGATTAATTTAAAAAAATAAAATGTTCCCAAATTTATCTTTTCATAGATTTTTTATCTACTCGACATGTTTATTTTTTGTCAATAATGACATGTATTGACTATTTCCATTGTAAATATCTTGAGAACGATTACTCGTAGCGATTTTTACCAAGAGATATTTTTTACGTAAAAAATCACGGAAATGTATAGTTTTTCACCCGTTAGTTTTTATACAAGTACAGACGAAAAGTTATTACTCTTCAAAACAGTTAAAACACATGTAGGTGGCGCCCCCTTACAAATAGGAGTCATATAGACATCAATATCAAATTTCTCATGTCAAAAAACTCCCGGAAACCAATTTTCAGCTTAATATTGTCTGTACTTTAGAAATTATTTGAAAAAAAAACGAAATAAAAATGAAACTTCTACACCCTATATCTCCGAAAATAAGCGTTTTAAGATTATCAAATACCTGTCTGATAAACGTAGTTATAGTTTAAGTGAAATATATCAGTGTTTACTGGATATAGTATTTTTTTAATATAATTTAATTTTTGTCTTATATTTTTGTTATTCTACATTTTTTATGTTGACAGAGCATTGTATGCACTTATCTAAACTATAAAACGTCCTGTTCTTATAATAAACAGTTATACAAAATTGAAATTTTTTACGGTCGCAGTTTATGATTCTTTTTATTTTGCGGATTATACAACGCGAGATATGAAGCTGGCGAAAGATAATTCCCAATAGAAATTCTGTTTAATGTCCTATGCATAAAAGCTATATAAATAAGCGGGACAATTTTTCGTTACATCGGGCTCAAATAGGTGGAGCATCAAAGGGAAAATTTAAAATAATGGTTAGGCGTAATTACGTCACAGAACAAAAGAATTTTAGGTGGGTGTGCATAGGGGTATTTCGTTATTTAAATCCTTTATAGAAATATTTAGTTGGATTTAATATTTATTTAGATATTATTATAGGTTTATTTTTTTATCTGACACTAGTTTTATCTTGTGTATTTTAGTTTAGACGTCTGAAAGCAGTGACCAAACCAAACTTTGCATAACTTATAGAGATATGATTGACATTTTGTAGTTAGTAAAATTAAAATAACGAATATATTTTCACAGTCATATTTTGAACTTTTATACTATTAAAAAAAATATAAATAAAAAAAACTACCAGATATAGCAGTATAATTTTGCCTATTATTTTATTAGAGTTACCTGCTTGTGTTTTTCTAATAAAGTACAAAAAGAAAGGCAATTATCAAAATTTCTTACCATTTTCAGCGTAGACTATCCTAAAGGTGTCAGAATGAAGATGACCGAAGAACTGACCGACGATAATGGAGTGGAACTTCCTCACAATTTTCAAATACTTCTTGTTGTGGAAGTCTTTGTACATTATGTGGCTAGAAGCCGACAGGCCTTTGTGCCTTTCGTCCGACCCTGGAGGTATATGGCCGACAAGATAAACCTGAAAAAGAGAAAAAAAGGACTTTCAATCCCAAAAAAATCTTAACGAAGAAGAAAGTAAGGGATACGTAAATACCTAATCTTTAAGTAAGTAAAAAAAAACAGCTTTAAATAATGAATGGCTGGGTCGTTTTGAATGGGTTTATTACTGTAATCTATAAAATAGTATACATTGCTAAAATTATTAAAAAAATACAGAAGCTGATTATCTCTGTATAGTTGATAGTGTTCAAATTATTATTATTCTTAATTTAAGTTATTAAGGTTATTCTCTCTGTATTTCTTAAATAATTTTTTTTAAATCCGTTTAAAATCTCTTGTATATTTTATTCTACCAAGCCACACGAATGTATAATAAAACCAATGGTTTTCCCTATACTATATAAATATTGAATGTATTAAAAAATATCAACATGAGTTTTAATAACGAAAAAAGTAAATATTTTAAGTAAATTTTAGATAAAATATTATATAACATAAAAATATATTTGAGTGCTCGCGTTTTAAATTTCAATTTTTATCTACTCGACTAGAATTAAAAAATATATTAAATATTTTCTCCCGTTTGGTTGATATCAGTTTATTTATGGATTTATTTTTGAGTTATTTCATGGAATTAATATTATTATAATGACGATTGGTGCATTTCAGTCAATTTCAAAAAATTCCGACCGTCCGCGTGCGTCGACCTTTTTCATAATATTTAAGTATTTTAGTTTTTTGTTAGTGCAGTTATTCAAACTATAAAACACTCAAGTACGAGGTTTGTGTGATGTAACGCTATTTCGGGTAGTAAAAATTAAGTGAAAAAGAATCCCAACTAGGCGTCGCGTCGTGTTGTGTTGTAGTATATATGTCGGTATTTGAGTAACGCGATTTTGGAGCGGTATTTTTTTGTAACGTCGTGTCGCGCTCCACAATGAATCAGGAACCTGTTACTGAAGAACGACGATCATAATGACGTCAAAATTATAAATTATTTATAATTTGCAAATAAATTATTTATAATCGCACTTGAAGTTAGCTCGAACCGTAGTAACCGCATAGCGACGTGTTTAGCTCCAGGCGTCGCGATATCGTCGGTCGCCAACAGTAGTGTCTGGAACCGGTATAGCCGTAGCGCCGCGCGATCTCAATCGGGACGTGTTCGCTCGAACCGTCGCGCTCCTAGAGTTGTAGTTCCCTGTCGTGAACAGAAGTAACTGCTGTAAATGGGCATCGACGCTCGACCTCGGTGGCGACCTACTTCGCTCCAGCCGTCGCACTCCTAGAGTTTTAGTTCCCTGTTGCGAACAGAAGTAACTGCTGTAACTGATTATCGACGCTCGACCTCGGCGGCCACGTACTTCGTTCCAGCAGTCGCTGGGGCGCTTCTAAGGTTTCGGTTTTGCCTGTCGCGATTTGGTCGGTTAATATTGGCGTTGGTGCTCCCGTCGCTACGTTACTTTCGAAATAGCGATTTTTGGTATGTACTAGGCATGGTATAAAATAGTGTTGTTTGAAAGATGAAATGCAAAAGGCAAATAAAATAAATTAAAAATGTTTTATTTGCTTTTATATATTTATATAAGTTTTATTGTTTATATCTATTTTTAAGGTTAGGTTAGACCAATAAACATTTTTTTGGCAGTGGTTTGGACATTGTTCTTGATTTTAACATTTATTATATTGCAATACACATAAATATGAGCCGTTCATTTTATTTAAACGAAAATTGATAAAGAAAAAAAAAATAACAAGGAATGTCATCGTTTTTCTAAAAATGATATAGATTGGCTATACACAATTATAAACTCGATATTTGTAAAATGAGTAGCGGATAAAAGTTACATTAATCTACAAATATAGATAAGTTAGATATATTTTTAGAGAGGACCGCAACACTGGAAGTCGGAACCTCGGTTACAAAATCGCGGTATTTTTCTAGAACGGTCGCTATTGTAACGCGACTCGTGGAACCGGTATTTCCATCACTATTGTATTGTGACAATTTCAAATGTAATAAAATTGCTAAAAAAAATGTTAACGCGTAAAGGAGAGCGTAATTAGGGCGTAGTTGGGTGCAATAATTTCAACAGCTCCTGCAATTTTCTAAAACAAATTCGATTTTTTTATTGTGATAAAATAATATTTTCTTTTTGCAGTAATGTCTATTATTATATGTATTATTTGCTTTCGGTTTGTCTCATTATAGTCTAACTAATAATAAAATCGCACAAACACGTGGAGATTAAATAATTTCACCATAGTAACCAGATTAAGCACGATTAAACGATTAAAATTCTGTTACGCAAACAGCGAATATTTAATTATGATATCTGAAAAGGATCGAACTGCGGTTGTGCCATAATATTATGAATAATTTTCCATATTTGTTTTGTGTCCGATTTCAAACAGTTTCCATTCTCAGCTAAATCATATTAAAACCCATATTTTATTAAACGAATCTCTGCAGCTTTAAAGTACGCCTACTACAGTATGTCCCCGGATTGTCTTTACAAGAGGTTTTTTTTATTATTGACATTTTGAGAAAAATGCAAAACCCCTTTCTATGGTAATATAACTTCGTTTTCATTCGATGGTAGATTGTTATTCATAGAATTTTAATCAACGTAATACTTTTTATTGCTTTAAAATGTTAAAGAAACACAAAATTTATTTAGTTTACTACAGCAAAGAATATGACGTTAAGCAAAATTAATAAGAACCATCTATCAAAGAATGAAATCGAATTGATATTACCATAGAGACGCCTTTTGATTTTTAGGACCATAGATAAAAGAAAATAATCTTCTATTAAGATAGATATGAAACTTAATAGTAAAATTTTGGGTCAAAGCGCCCCTCCGTGTTCTTAGTAGAGACTACGTTTAACCCAGCGCCTTCGCCTTTTCTGCTGTAAATATTTTTTATGTTTATATTTGATTTCAAAGGATTTAGTTTTAAAGTTACACTGATATATTAGTATATCATAGTAACTTTAATAAAACATAAGAATATATATGTTTTACAGTTTATTAAATATAAATTTTGACTACAAGGTAGAAAGTAAATCACAATATTTGATAAAACTTATAAGTATACCATTTTTACAGTTAACAAATAATAAAACTATTTCTGACTATGATATTTAAAATTTAGATAGATAGAATATTAAAAAACATACCGGTATTTGCAGACGCAGGCTCAAATTCAATAAAAACCAAAATTTTTCCTGCAAAAATCGGGATTTTTCACAGAAAAGCTATTTTTGATTTATCAACAATCATTGTCAAGTTGACAATATACAGGGTGTTTTCTAATTAGTCTAAAAAATTGTGGTGTGATTCCTCATGTGTTCTTAAAACAATTTTTATATAACCATTGGGTCTAAAGTACTTCCTTTCTGATCTACAGGGTGTTAAAAATTAAAAAAAAAATCGATATTTTGCTTAAAATAAATGGTACACTACTGCTTTTTTAAAGAAAATATATTTTTTCTTGACTGGCCATCCTTTTTCAACAAAGTTGATCTTTTGAATTTTTCTTGTTCATCAAACGGTTGCCGAAAAAAAATAAATATACTTATTAAGAGCCCGCCTTAAGCCGTTTTCTAACGATTTTTTATTTTTTAGATTAATTAGGAAACACCCTGTATATGCATATCACAGGCAACCAAATAAATTAGTAACCTCTAAAAATTATTTTTCCTACCACTAGCGACATACCGTGTTTTTAGTGAGTACTAAATTATTTTATCAAAATTTCACCATATAAGTTTCCAGGCAATGTTTAGGACTTTGAACCATATCTTCATATTTTTCTTAGGCTGTATTCCGTTGCAAAACTACGCGAACCAGACCGGTAAACTACGGTAAAGAGCGATTCCTGAAAAACATCGGTTTGATACGGAACGGTTTGGTAAAATACTGGAAACGTCAAACGTTGACGTTTCTTAAATTTCAATAACCCCTCTTATAAAATTTATCTTTTATGCATTTTTAATGTACCTATTCTCTGTTTTTACGTTTGCTTCTCCTTTTCAATGGACTTTAATATTGAAAAGTATGTAGCCTACTAATAAATTGTTCAACTCGTTGGACAGCTCAAGTGAACATTTGCAGGTCCAATATTAAAACAGATCAATAATAAATAAACAAATCTAATCAATATTTATATTTTTATAGCTTACAAAACATTCACGATTACTTGTTGTCTTGTTTTTCATATTTTCTTTAAATGTTCCTGACTTTAAGAAACATTGGCTGCATGATAAGTTTAAATGGTCCTAAAAAGTCATTCTATTTAGTTAATGAAATTTATTTACCTTTACTGCCTATCTCCATTGCTTTTGGATGTAAATACAAAATATTACAAATTTTAGAAATTAAATGAGAATTTCACTCGAACTTCCAATATTTGCTTGATTTCTGTCACATAAATGACATTGATTGACAAACAAAACCAGAAAAACCAGCCTTCTCGCGCTGGTTAGTTTAGTGACAGTTATAACCAAATTTTTCAGGAACCGTGTTCCGTAATAAGAAAACTTTCAGGAAACCGATAGAAACGGAACATAAAACCATAACCAAAGTAAGCAACGAAATACACCCTTAATTTTCTCTAAAACGGTATAGAAATATGGAACAGTATACATATACTACTGGATTAACCATTTTACAACAAACAAAAATTTTCATGAAGTTCATTTTTCTCAAAATATCAATAATAAAAAAGTTCTTTTTCTCTCGTAAAGACAATCCGGGGACATACTGTATAATAAAAATAGGAAATAAAAAAATAATCTGTCCATGCTTTACTAGTTGATCGATAATTAATTAGATCAAAGCTGCATTTTACTGGTATTTTTCTATGCCGTTTAAAGCGTAGCTTTTTTCATGAAACAGAATTGATAAGCAGATTGATAAGTTCTTTTTAAATTGCTAATAAAAAGTCTCTCTATAAATTTTAGAAATGGACTATTCCAAATAAAATATATTTTTTTATTATTAGTTCATTTGA